CCCTGAACAACAGGAACCAATATACAAGGACACGTGCACCTCCATGTTTATTGCAGCACTGTTCGCAATAGCTAGGATATGGAAACAACCTAGGTGCCCCACCACAGATGAATGGATCCAAAAATTGTGGTATCTATACACAATGGAATATTATGCAGCCATTAGAAATGACAAAATAATGGCATTTGCAGGGAAATGGATGGAGCTAGAAGGAATCATGTTGAGCGAGGTAAGCCAAGAACGAAGAGACAAACGGTACATGGTCTCCCTCATAAGTGGATGCTAAATCCAAAAGGTTAGGTGATACGACAAAACTAACAGGACTTAAGAAACAAAGAACTCCTGCTCATCTGGTTGAACCACTACTAAATATCCTCATGCTGCTGATCACAAATATGGTATATAACATGTGAACACTGTTATATATTACAGACTGTGGTAGACAATTTGCTCCAGGGAAGTTAGAATGAACTTGTGACTTTGAAATTATGTAATCATTTAATCACAATAAAAAAAAAAAGAACCTCGGGGAAGGGAGGGAGGGAGGGGATGGTAGGGGGAAAACAATGGAGGGGGTAACAATGTTCAAGAGGAAGTGTACTCATAACCTCCCTCATGTAACTGTAACCCTCTGTATAGTAGCTTTACAATTAAAAAAAAAAAAAAAAAGCAGACAAATATTTGAACAGAGACCTCAATAAAATTATATGCAGATGATAGATACATATATGAAACAATACTCAACAACATGTCTTACTGGAGAATTGCTTCTCCATTCCTATTAAATGGCCCAGATCCTAACTAACCACAACACCAAATGCTGGTAGAAATGTGTACCAGAGGAACTCTGGGTCTTGCGGCTGGGAATGCAAAATGGTGAGCCACTTTGGAAGGAAGTTGAGGCAGCTTGGAACAGAACAAAAGTACTCTTATCATCAAATCTAGCACTTGTATGCCTAGGTACTTTCTCCAGGGAGTTGTTAACTTGTGTCACACTAAAACCTAGCACACATTCTTAGAGTAGCTTTACCTGTAATTGCCAAAAAATGGAACCCCTAAGATGCCCTTTAATGGTTGGATGGGTAAACAACAGGGCCGTTAATCATCAACAAAGAGAAACGGGCTGTGGAGGAAAGGTAAATGCGTAGGACTCAGCAAAACAAGCTAGGCTCAGAGGCTGTACTGTATACTATGTGATTTCAACTACATGATGTCTGGAACTGTGGCTGCCACAGTGCTGAGACACAGAGGCTACTTCAGGCAGCAAAGCTGCAGATGGCTGATACTCGACATTATACAGGCAGTTCAAGGCTAGGGGTGCCATGACACAGGGTAAACTGTACTGGTGGACTTTAGTGAAGAGCGGTAGGCCGCTGGTCCATTCTCTTAACAATGCAAGGTGTTAGTAAAAGAGATTGCAAGCATCTGGGCACTCTATGTGTTCAATTTTTCTGTAAACCTTAAACTGCTCCTCAAAAGTCTATTAATTAACTATAACATTAAAAACTCAATGTGTACCTGTTTTTGAAGAGCAGATAAAATGTTTGTTTTTTTCTTTGGCAGGTTGTAGGACTTGAAACTCTGGGCCTGGACACTGTCCCTCAGTTCTTCAGCTCAAGGCTAGCACTCTACCACTTGAGCCATAGTGCCACCTCATGTTTTCTGGTGGCTAATTGGAGATAAGTGTCTCATGGACTTTCCTGCCTGGGCTGGCTTTGAACCACAATCCTCAGACCTCAGCCTCCTGAGTAGCTAGGATTATAGGCATGAGCCACTGGCACCTGGCAATAAAATGTATTTTCAGTTGAAGAATAACACTATCCAAACCTTCAAGGCCCTTTGTTCCTTTGCCAATGAACTCTCCTACCCTATCTGTGTGCAGATAACCAGGATCATGGGAGTGTATGAACCATTGCCTGCCCATCCTCCTTCCTTCCCTTCCTTCTTTGACAGGGTCTCCTATGTAGTCAAGTCTGTCTTTGCATTTACAATTTTCCTGTTTCAGCCTCCTGAGTACTGGAATTACAGACAGGTGCTGCCGTGGCCAGCCTTTTATTTCTTTTTAAAAATTGTTTCACTGCCTCTCTCTATATTCTTGGAAAACATTTTACTTAGTTCTCCTAGTCTTTGTTTAAACCTGTGCGATGGAGTCTTCACTTGTGATTTGCTCTTTTTGCTCTGAAATTGGGGGCTGAGGCTGTTTATGTTTCAGCAGAAGATACTGCAGGACACTGGGGCAGAACAGGGCTGTCCTCAACACTCTTGAGAGATGCTAGGGAAGGCAGTGGACAGAGCAGGCATTTAGCTCTGATGGAGTGAGAGAATGGGACAAGCCGCTTGGTAGAAAAGGTTCTAGAAGGGAGTGGAGTTCTTACAAAGTCTAGGAAGTACATCACAGAGCAAAGCCCATGGCCTGGAATCTGAAAGTGTTCAGAGAGAGAGCTCAGAGCCAAGGAGGAGCTTGGAGAGGTACCAGAGGAAGGGACAGACCACAAGGACCATTGATCACCTCCCTCCAAGCCCAGACTTTCTCTCTGTCTTAAGTTTAGGGAAAAAAAGCACACCCAAAAATAGCTCCTTGAAGGAGATCTTATGATACCCCACACTGGGATGCATTGTTCAATCACTATGTGATGCCTGACCGGCAGGGGGATGGGGCTGAGGTGGGTGGAGAGTCTGAAAGAAGCCAAAAGATAGCTTGGCATCAGTTGGTGGAAAGTGACAGTAACCTGGCAGGGCTATGGGTTGGTAAGTTGAAGGGCTCTGTTACCATGGCAACAGAGCAACGGGGCAACCTTAATGTAAGAGCAGCAAAAGAGGTGCCAGCCAGAAAGGGTTCCTGAGAAATCTAAGCAGATACAGGAGGCAACTTGACAGCATGCCTGGGCCTTGCCTTAGACAATCTCAGTGGCCCTGGACAGGACTCTTCCCCTTCCCAGAACTCATTTTTCCACGTATGCAGAAAGGTCCGTCCGTGGTCCTCCAGGGTTCCCCAGTTTGAGAACATGGCCCTGGAAGGCCTAGAATGGGCTAAATTGCTATAAGCATGCATAGCTGATGCACAGTGTCATCCAGGGCAGCAGGATTCACTACAGAATGCAAGGAAGGAAGGAAGGATGGAAGGAAGGAAGGAAGGAAGGAAGGAAGGAAGGAAGGAAGGAAGGAACGAAGGAAGGCAGGCAGGAAGACAGGCAGGCAGGCAGGCAGGCCCGTGATGGCGAGGCATCTGTCATACAAACTCAACGGCACAAAGCTAATCGAGATCAACAAGCTTCTCCACTCACAGTCTGCTGACTCAGCCTGACGCCAGTTCTGCAGGCTTCTCTCTGCCATTTGCAAGAGTCTTGGGACTCCCGGAGCAATAAGTCCCCCACTTCAGCTTGGGGTAAAGGGAGTGGCCTTCCAGCTTCCAGGGCTGCCCTGGGGTTCAACATCAAAGCCCCTGGCTGGTCCTACCTCAGGCCTTCCTTCCAGCTCTGCCTCACAATGTGTGATCCCTTCTTTAGTGTCCCTGAGACCCCAGTCTGCCACTGACTCCTTGAGTCCCAGTGGTAAGTGTGAAGATGTTTCCTTGTGCCACCCACTTTGAAGATGTGAACAGAGCCAAGAAAGCCTATGAAACTGCAGACAAGGGTCCAGGGTGGGAGAGGTTGGGTGAGTGGGAAAGATGGGGGTTAGGAGCATTATCACCAACAAGGCTGGACCTCTTGGGTAAGTGACTATGCCTTTCTGGTTTCCGTGTCCTCACAATCAAAATGGGCTAGCCACCACACTGACTTCCTGGAGCTGCTTTCATTGTCATCGCTGCCACCGCCACCGCCACCGCCACCGCCACCACCACCACCACCACCACCACCACCACCACCACCACCATCATCATCATCATCATCATCATTATCATCATCATCACACCAATACTGTCATCATTATGGTTGCAATTACCATCACCCCAGTCTCATCCCAGTTCAGGGGCCCAGTTGGCCAGCAACAGCTCTTCCAAGTGCTGATAGCTACCTAGACTTCTTAATCCTGGAGGTGTGTGGGGAACTCCCCTGACACTGACTGGATAGGGAGGTGCTCTATTGCCAACTGTGTACCATAAATGATCACTTTTTGTCACCTCCCCTCTGGACAGAGCCTGTCTGAGTTACCTCACTGCATGCCCACAGGCCTGGCCAGTGCTGTCCATCCCCTGCAGCTCTGGCTGCTCTTGTCTGGAGCCTGCTTCCTCCCCACAGGTCTGTGAAATATAGCGTCAAGGCGGGACAGCCCCAAGCCTCCAAAATAGCGTTCTGTAAGGAAGGACTTGATTCTGGCTGCATCTTGGCTGCCTCATTTGCCTGAGACTCTTCTTGTCCCAATGCATAGAAACCACGTCCAGTTTGGTTTGGGAACCACACTCAAAAGTTCTATGAAACGACTTCCTTAAAAATGCAATGAGAGCCAGGCGCCAGTGGCTCACGTCTGTAATCCTAACTACTGAGGAGGCTGAAGTCTGAGGATTGCAGTTCAAAGCCAGCCCAGGCAGGAAAGTCTGTGAGACTCATCTCCAATTAACCACTAGAGAACTGGAAGTGGCGCTGTGGCTCAATGGTAGAGAGCTAGCCTTGAGCTGAAGTGCTCAGAGACTGTGCCTAGGTTCAGAGTCCAAGCCCCATGATCACCACCACCACCAAACAAATGCAGTGAGAGAAATGGAGACCCCATTGTTGTGGTGGAATCTGCTGTGATGTATGGAAATTATGCCAAATAGCACACCCCAGAACAGCCCAGTATCACTCAAAAAGTCAAGTTCAACTGTTCTAGGAGCAAATCTACAAGCAATGAAAGGGACTCAGCTTTCCCTAATGTATGCAAGTATACACATTAAATGTGTGTGTGTGTGTGTGTGTGTGTGTGTGTGTGTGTCTAGTGGAAGGCAAAGGCACTAAGCTGTAGGCTGGCGATGTGCAGCATGGCTTCCCCATGTCTGGGAGCCGTGTGCTTCAGGCCATGCTCACCTCCATGCTGTACTTCTCCACCGTCCTCCGCAGGGGGTCCACGGCCTGCCAGCAGATCAGGATGCACAGGTCGATGAGCAGCATACCCCCCACAATCACCAGCAGCTTCTGGTCTTTGATGATCTGTATAGGGAAAGGATAGAGGGGCAGATATGAGACAGAACTTCCCAAACCAAGGCTGAGGTGTCAGGCCAGGGTGGCCATGAACTCTCAGCTGGAGAGTCTCCCGACCGAAACTCCCCATCGCCCACAGGAAAAACCAAGTTCAGCTCTTATGTCTGTCTTAAAAGGCCTTTTCCGATCGTTGTCCAGACACTTCCTCACTTGTTCATATCTGGACACTTCTACTAGTCTCTGGCTGAAGGTAATTTTCATCTGAGTCTTTCCTGTCTGGCAAACTTCAAGACCCTGGTTAATTGTCACCTCCTCCCTGAAGCTTTCTGTGCTCCTCCAGTGGAATCAGTTACTCCCAGAGCACTCTATCAGGAGCACATGCTATCAGGAGGGAGAAGAGCCATAGTAATGTGAGCAGTAGCTCACATTTGATGAATACTTGCTTAAGGCCTGCCTTTAGATTGGCAGTTTTACATGCATTGTCTCATACAAGGACAGATACAATTATTCCCATTTTTCAGAGAAAGAAATTTGATTATACTTGTTCAGTATAATAAAGCTACTGAAGCGTGAAGCCAAGATTTAACCAAGCTCCTCCTTTTTTCCAAATTCATACCCTCAGACATTTCCAGCACTGCCCAGGGTATCATATGATACCTTATCTGTGTCTGTACCCCCACAGAGGGTGCCATGCTTTATTTGTGTACCTCAGGACCTAACAGGGTCTGGTATGCAGTGAGCACTTTAAAGTTTGACAAAAGAGCTGTGTTGGAGCTACCTACTTGGAATCCCAACACTTGGGAGGCTAGAAGCAGATAGATGGCAAGTTCAAGGCCAGCCTGAAACTATGTCTCAAAAAATGGACAGGGCTATGGTCACAAGTTTACGGAGTTGCCACCCCTAGGTTAGAGTTCCAGGCCTTGATCAGGTCCTAGATACACAGGAGGCTAAAATCTGAGGATTATGGTTCAAAGCCAGCCAGGGAAGACACATCTGTAAGAATCTTTTTTTTTTTTTGGGTCCGGTCGTGGGGCCTGCACTCCAGGCCTGGGCGCTGTCCCTCAGCTCTTCAGCTCAAGGCTAGCGCTCTACCATTTGAACCACAGCACCACTTCCAGCTTTTTTCTTTTTGCTTATGTGGTGCTGAGGAATCGAACCCAGGGCCTCAGGCATGCAAGGCAAGCGCTCTACCACTGAGCCACCTTCCCAGCCCCATCTGTAAGAATCTTATCTCCAATTAACTAGCAAAAAAATCCAGGAGTGGAGGTATGGCTCAAATGTTAAAGTGCCAGCTTCGAATTGAAAAGCTAAGTGAGACACAAGTCCCTGAGTTCAAGCCCTAGTACCAGTATTAAACAAACAAATAAATAAATGAATAAGTAAAGGCTGGTGCTCTACTAACCTGGAACAAAGATGGAAAAATGGGGCAGAGGAGGGAGGGGAGCAAAGATCTAAGACCTAACCGGTTATTGAGCTAAGTCCTGCCCCTTTCTTGGTCTCAGACCTGACCAGTACCCCAGTCCTGATCCTAGATTATGCCGGCTCAGGAGCTTATTTTTCTCAAGCAGGCATCTGCTTGATTTCACAGCCAGGATGCCTCTCTTGGCACATGGATGCTAGATTCTGCTTGCTGCCCCATGAGTGGAACACTCATTCTTGGCCTGTATTGTTGAGTTTCAACACCCTTCCAAAGAACAAAAAACATGGGTGGGTAGAACTGAGATGAAGGAATACAAAAACAAACAAACAAGCCTCATTTCATCCCTTTTGCAGCCTGAACCTTCACCCAACCACCAACCAAATAAAAGCTAATGTGATTAATTTATTTTGGAAAAGGCTCCAAGAAAAATAAATTGGGAGACAGAAGCCTAAGAAAGATGACTGGGTGTGGCTTTTAATGACTAAGGCCATTAAAACAACAACAACAACAACAGGAATAGAAACTCATAAAGGCCTTTCTGTGGCCCAGTGTGAAAGAACAGCAGATCAGACTGCTATGAAATCCCCTAAAACCACTTTACTTGGGAGCAGGGCAAGCCTTCTCTTTGAAAGTTCAGAAAGGATCCAGTGAACTGCTGATGCTTTGCAAAAACACAGCTTAACCCTTGCTCTCTGTGGAGCAAGGCAACTCCCTGCCAGCTTTGAGAAGCTGGGGAAAAAGGAAGACATTCATTCCTGAGGAGCCTGGGACCCGAGGTCAGGCTACAAGAGGCCCTTGCATGTGCTGTGGCCCCTCAGGCTGTTTGAGCCCACAAGCATTTGCCTAGGCTGTGCCCTTGGAGGTCCTTGCCCAGTTCCTGCTGGTGCAATCCTACCCTGACTTGAAGACTGAGTCCAGGTAGTTTTAGCTCCATGATTCAGGTATGGTCTACATTGGGACACAGCTGATCTTCAAAGATGAGCTCTAGGAGCTCGCTCTTGTCAGTGTGGTAGGGTAAAGTCCTTCTTCCTGTAAGGTTCTCTATGATGTGTGAGGCCGCATGGGACAGTGATATTTGGAAGGATTTGGAATTATGTGCACTACATTAGAACCCTGTCTCCATTTCTTGTTACCTGTGGGACAATGGGAAAATCACTTCATCTCTGCCATTCAGCAGTTTTCCATTGGTATCAGAGCCAGGAGAGGAGGAAAGCTCATGCCTTATTGCTGAGTATGGTATAAAGGAGTGAACACAGATTTTTTGGAATTAAAAAGGCTCATTCTAATCCTAGTTCTGGCCAAATGTGATCTAATGTAAATTGCTTATCTTAGCTGGACCTCAATTTCATCCTTGATAAAGTGGGGTCATTGGCCCCCAATTGTACAGTTGGTATAAGAATAAAACAAGATGATGATGCATGGAAATCACAAAAGATCAAGATTTATCTGGGGAAGATGCTCCATGAATACTAGCTATTTGACTTATTACTTGGGGTTTGATTAGCAGCAATTGTTATATGTAGGACAGTGACATCTAGAGGCAAAGTATGATATTGTGCCCCAGCTCTACTAGTCGTCAAGGCGCATCAACAGATGGCCAGATCCATGTGGGAAGGTTGGTGAATAAGAAAGAACACATCTGATTTCCATCTGGCACTGTTCCCAAAGCCTGGCACTCCACCAGAGCTTATGAATGACTTCAACCATGTAGTTATGAACCACATCTCATTTATTAATTGCAGAAATACTGAGGTGAGTTCTTTTCTAGGTCCTGGGGCTGGGAAGGAGAGGGATCCAGCTGGGCTCAAAGAATAAATATTCAGCCTTCATGGAACATGTATTTTAGTTGGGGAGACCATAGTGAATAACTAAGCTGTGTCTATACAAAATGTTTTGCTGAGAAGAAATGATTTAAAGTAATCTGAAATAAGGAAGATGAGGAGGGGAAGGAAAGCACTGTCCTGACCATGTGGATCTGAGTTGGAGAACCACACAGTAGGGAGGCCACCTCTCATCCTCATCTCATTTTTGCTTCCTTCTTTCTCAGGTTTCTCTTTAAATCTTGCCCCGATTTCTCTCTGGGTTGTTGGTGTTTGCTGGTGTCCCCACATGTCATTCTCTCTCTGAGACAGGAACAGCTTAGTGATATGCTTTGAGCAGAAGAAGCGAACCAAGGCTTCAGCAATCACTATGCATCTGGGAAGCTGATCTGAGTGAACTAGCTGATCCTGGGTGAGTTGCTGACTCCTCTGAGATGATTCCTTCATTTACAAAGTGTAGACATCATCACACAAGTCACATCAGGTGATCAGAATCTGGCTTACAATAGCAGCACAGTGGAAGCCAACTATCCCTTCTAAATGTCACTTCCCGTGTTGTTTAGAGCAAGGATTAGCAAACAACAGATTTTGCTCACAGCCTGTGACAAATGTCTCTAGCCATATTAAACAGAGTAGAGGTAGCTGCAGAAGAGAGGTCGGCAAAAAGTCATATATTTATGATGTATGACTTTCTACAGAAAAAATCCTGGCTAAAAAATGATTTAGAAGAAAATGGTATTTTTTAAAAAAAATTAAAACACTATAGATTTTTTTTTTTTGGTCTGCCGTGGGGATTGAACTCTGGGCCTGGGCGCTGTCCCTCAGCTCTTCAGCTCAAGGCAAGCGCTCTACCACTTGAGCTACAGCGCCACTTCCAGTTTTCTGGTGGTTTATTGGCGATAAGAGTCTCACGGTCTCTCTTGCCTGGGCTGGCTTTGAACCTCGATCCTCAGATCTCAGCCTCCTGAGTAGCCTATAATCCTGAGGATTATAGGCGTGAGCGAGGCAAGGTTTTGCTATGTAGTTCAGGCTGGCCTCAAACTCAAGATCCTTTTGCCTGAGCTTCTTGAGTGCTGGGATTGTAGGTATGCACCAACACACCTGGCTTAACTTGAGATCTTTTGACTGAGCAGATCAACCTTCTAGCTGGGTCAACTTGGTGCTCTCTGGTACATAGTGTGGTTAATGCCCAGGATGGTTAGTGCCTTGCCCTGCCCAGACATCAGTGGAATGGATGAAGCCCTCCCTTGGCATTCCTTAGGATGAACCCAGGTAAAGGTCTGAAGGGTGTCCTCTGATGCTTTTGTGGCTCACACTGTCAGCAACAGTACTGAGTCACATTTGTTCTTAAAAACATCTGCCATGAACAGGAGGCCTCATCCCTGAGGTCCTCCTTCATGCCACCACTTCAGCTGGGTCCTAGTGAGAGGCAGAATTAGGCCAGGAATAAGTTTCTCAATGTAAGACTTGATCATTGGTCTTTATAACAAATAGTAGCATGCTACAAAACTGTGAAATTTGGGAGCACTAAGTCACCACCTGTCAATACTTTTTTAAAAAAAAAACTATGCTTCTCCCCCCCTTTCATGTCTAAAAATATGGCTGTTGGGTGCTGGTGGCTCACAGTTGTAATCCTAGCTACTCAGAAAGGCTGAGACCTGAGGATTGACATTTGGAACCAGCCTGGGCAGGAAAGTCTGTGAGACTCTTACCTTCTAATTAAACAGTCAAAAGTCAAAAGCGGAGGTGTGGTTCAAATGTTAGGGTGCTAGCCTTGAGCACAAAAGCCAAGTAAGAGTATGAGGCCCTGAGTTCAAGCCTCATTTCTCCCCCCTGCTCCCTCACACACACAAAATAAAATGTGGCCATATGGGGTGAGGCTGTGTGTTTCCCCCTCATGGGCTGGTCTGTTACCTGCTAGTGACCCCTCAGCAGTGCTTCTCTCCCCCTCTGAATGCAACCTGCAGTTTTCCTGAGTTGGCCTTGGGATCCAGCAGGGGCCAGAGAAGGCAGGATCTACCTTACCATACTTGTAGGTGTGGGGTTGAGGACTGAAGCTTCAGATCAACCCTGGCATCCGAGATGGATGAGGTGTAGGAGGCGCCACTGGGCACCAGGTAGGGGCCTCAGAAGCACAGCTTAGGGAATGATGTTACTGCAATATGCTCCCTTCTACAGAACAGGAACAGGCTTGGAAGGCTGAGACATTTGTCTAAGGTCTCACAGCAGGTCAGTGGCTGAGCAGGGCCTGTTTTGCCTTTTACCCCACTGTCTGGGAAGGCCTGCTGTCCACCTTGGGTGCTAGGCAACATGGCAGAATGCAAGCTCTGGAGAAGAACTGCGTCATCTGAGTCCGTGTCTGAAGTGAGATAGCCCATGGTACAGCGTCTTTGAACAGCATATGGCCACATCCAGGGTTTAAAACGTGTACATGTGGTGGGTAGAAGGGTGATGGTTGGAACCCAGAGAGGATCTTTGGAAAGAGGTGTCATGGTGCCGTGAGACATTTCCTGGCTAAGAGGAATGGGGTGAGAGGCATGCTTCCTTGACCTTGGAGAGCTGTTGGATGACCTGGCGGGGTCCCAGACACTGAGGGAAGCCTGTGGTCTGCTGCCTGAGAAACCTGGAGGGGGAGGGGGATGGCCAGGTGCAGAGGACAGGCTACAAGTAGGCTGCTGCCTGAGCAAGACCCTCTTCCACCCTGGAGCTCTTGTAGGGGTAGGAGACACATCAGATGCAGCTCCTTCCACTTTTTTTTTTTCTTTTAATGGTACTGGGGTTTGACTTCAAAATTTTGCGTTTGCTAGGCAGATCCTCTGCCACTTGAGATATACCTTCAGTCCTTTTTTGCTTATTTACTTTTCAGATAAAAGTCGGTGTTTTTGCTCAGGCTGGACTCAAGCTATCATCCCCCTAACTCCTATCTCATTACCATCCTCCTATCTTATTAGCATACCTCTAATCCCAACTGTACCCAGCCCTAAGTGGCACTTTGTACATGAAGCCTTCCTTAAGGGTCATGTATCCTAGAACTCCCCTCATGTCCCCAAGCAACCCCTGACCCTATGTGTTGTAAAAGCCTCTGTTAACTGATTTCCTCAGAGCCTGAGATGCCAGGAGGCAGGGACTGTGTTTCTCTCAAATCCCAAGCAGATAGCTCAGCACCTGCATGCATTGCTAAGTAGCTCCTGGCAGCACATTGAAACAGGAGGGTGATTACCTTCTTCTTCATCTTCACATTTTTGAAGATGGCATGGACCCTCCACGTCTTTGCAAACATCGCCCCAAAGGCAGTTGTGTAGCCTACAGTGAGAATCCAGGTCCTGACCTAGACGTGGCAGAAAACAGAGGTGTTAGCATTCCCCAGGGGGACATCAGTCAGATTTATTCAAGAACCTAGCCAGGGATAATCTAGATGATAAGGACAGACACACCCCTTTGCGTGCTGGAGTTTCATTAGCATCTTCCAATCAGATTTCAGTTTGGTAGATTTGCATTTGTGTCCTCCAATCAGGTTTCAGTTTGATAGGTTGTCATTAGCATCCTCCAATCAGACTTCAATTTGGTAGATATTTTAATCTATCAGGTACTTATGTAGACTATAATCTGGGTCCTTGTAGGCTGGGACAGCCTGGCCAACATCTGATAGTGACTGGGGTATCTAGGACACCCACTCCAGGCTTCACCAGCTGGCCTGGATACCATGCAACATCCAAAAGTCTTTCATACTCTCCCAGAGACACCCCCAGCCCAGTGTCCATAGACACGTTCTGCCTCTTCCTGTCCTGGCAACCAGGCTCCCACACGTCTTCTGCACCTGTTCTGCTTGTGAAAGGGTGAGCTGTCTGAGCCCAGGCAAGCACTGAGGAACACACACCTGGCATGTGCACACAGACAGGGGTCAAGTGGGGACTTGGCCTTCTTTTTCTTTCAATTATTTACTTTTCACTCCAAAAATACAAGCAGGAGACCAGATAGGTAAGGATGAAGTACGGTGCTTTAGAGAAGATGAAGGATATATTGTCACTCATAGTAGGGTTGAGGCCAAAGGAAAGCACAAGGAGGGCAGAGGAGCCAGTCATTGGAACAGAGGCCAGATTTCTCCAATGACCAGAGCAGACACTGATCTGTCAGTCTCAAAACCTTGCACACCAGCCCACTCACCCATCCTTGTGTCTCTTTGTCTATCTCTTCATGGAGCAATACTATTGGACTAGTACAAAAGACAGAAAAAGGAAAACAAGTAATAACTGGGATAATGATTTTTTTGTGTGCTGTTAGTTGAGTGAAGAAATCATTATCCAAATGAGGAAACTGAGGCTCAGAGCATTCAACATATTCTTGTGACTCCACAGTGCCCAAGAGCCAAGCCTGGAAAACAAATACATTGACCCAATGTGGCTGCTCTCCCTTACGGTGTCCTGCCGCCTCCTCAGAGTCCGTTTAACTCAAATCAGGCTTATTTGTACACAGGAGCCAGAGGCCCAGGGCACACCGGGGGCAGATGGCCAGCCAGGATGCACTCTCCTGAGATCTCCACAGTTTTAAATAGGAACATAACAATACTTAAAAAAATTCAGTACTGGGGTTTGAACTCGGGGCTTCATACTTGTTCACTCAATTGACACTCTATCACGTGACCCATGCCTCTAGGCCTGTTATTTTTCTTTTCTTTTCCTTCCTTCCTTCCTTCCTTCCTTCTTTTCATTCTTTTGTGTGTGTGTGTCAGTTGTGGGGCTTGAACTCTGGGCCTGGGCACTGTCCCTCAGCTCTTCAGCTCAAGGCAAGCACTCTACCATTTGAGCCACAGCACCACTTCAAGTTTTCTGATGGTTACTTGGAGATAAGAGGCTCACGGACTTTTCTTCCCAGGCTGGCTTTGAACCTCGATCCTCAGATCTCAGCCTCCTGAGTAGCTAGGGTTACAGGTGTGAGCTACTGGCGCCCAGCTTTTCTTTTCTTTTTTTTTTTCTTTTCCCTCCCTCCCTCCTGCCTTTCTTTCCCTCCTTCCTCCTCTTCTTCCTCCTCCTCCTCTTCCTTCTACTTTTCCTCCCCCTCCTTCTTTTACTTTATTTTGTTTTGCCAGTCCTGGGGCTTGAACTCAGGGCCTGAGCACTGTCCCTGAGCTTCTTTTGCTCAAGGCTAGTACTCTACCACTTGAGCCACAGTGCCACTTCTGGGTTTTTCTGTTTATGTGATGCTGAGGAATTGAACCCAGCGCTTCATGCAAGCTAGGCAAGCGCTCTATCACTAAGCCACATTCATAGCCCCCTTCCTTTCTTTTATAGCTAATGTTACATAGAGTGCCATGGACTTTTCTGGAAATTTGGCTGTGAACTGTGATCCTCCAGATCACAGCTTCTTGAGAAGCTAGTATTACAGGTATGAGCCACTAGCATACTGCATTTTTATTTATTGTTGTTTGTCTTTTGAAACAGGGTCTTCTTATATAGACCAGGCTGGTATCAAACTTGCTATGTAGCTAGGCTACCTGAATTCACCATCCCCCTGTCTCAGCTTCCCAAGTACTGGGATTACAGACATGCACCACCACACCTGACAAGACCAGAGATTTTGACAGGACTCTAAAACCAATGGTCTATGATAGTTTCTGATCATGGTCCCACGATCATAAAGTCAACTTTAACCATAGCCATATACAGAATATGGACATCTCATAAAGGGTGCAAAAGATGAAACAATGCTATTGTGCTACCTTGTCATGCAGCTGGCCAAGATTTCTTATGTCAAGGACTTGTGTCTCCCCAGTGTGCTTGGCATCATCAATATTCCCTTTGACTTACATTCCTTTTTAAAAGCAATTGCTGTCAGGCCGCTTGCCTGTTTCGTGAAGGTTAACATTATTTAGCCTCAATAATATAAATTAAGTGAGTTAAAACTCCTAATGGAAATTAAATCTGGTGTCTGGAAACTGTAGCCATAAACTGAAAGCAAATGACAGCTCTGACAGTAAAGAGCTGAGCCTGCTGCCCCATGGCGAGACTGGCTTTGGATGGTGTCAGCGAACTTGGGCTTTGCCTGTGTTCCCACTCTTTGCCTCATGATGAAGGTGGCTCACTGGGCTTACATTTTTTTCATACACAAATATGGGTTGTATGTGTGTGTGTGAGGATACAGTGGTGTCTACCTTATAAGCTAAGTGACTTGGGAAGCAGAGAGAAAAAGAACCTGGTTTGACACCAGCCCCAGATAAAAATGCATAGCCCTACCTGAAATATAACTAAAGCAAATAGAGGCTGGGGCATAGCTTGGGTGGCAGAGCACCTGCCTAGCAAATGTAAGGTCCTGAGTTCAAATCTCATCACTGTAAAAACAGGAAGATGTGGCTTATGCTGAATCTTTGCCTTCCTTTTGGGGCATCTGGAGGCAGGGATGTGTATGTGACCATCCTTAGTAAGGTTCTGAGCCCCGTGTATTTCTGCCCTTTGATCCTGGTGTTACCTGGGCTCCTCTGCAACAGCCTCCTCCCTTGGCTGCTTTGGTCCTATTTTTTTCACAGTAACTGATCATGGCCAGGAGTGTAACTAGATGCTCAGTCCCTGAGTGCAGAGGATTGCTAGAGCTGAGGGCTGTCTTGGACCCTTGGCGCATACCCTACCACTTCCTGGTATAAGGGCTGACCAGCCACTGTGGCCCTATGTGCAGCCAGCAGACGGGCTCACTGAGTCAGGGCCTGGGCCAATCTCAGCTGGAGACAGCTATTGAGCCAATACCAGGGGAACCAGTGAAAGCAGGGCAGTGCTGGGCTGTCCTCTGCCAAGGGGACAGTTGTTGGCTCCCTGCATCTTTCCCCATCTGCCATGGGCAGGGTCCATGACAGGCTCTTCCCCTGGAATTCTGTCCTCCCACCTCCACGCCTGTGCGTATCTCGGGGATCCTGGCACCATCCACCTCACGTTAGGAACCTGAAAGTCAGCACAGCTCCCCACTTTTGCTTTCCTCTTCCATTTCTAAGCCAGTCTCTTCTGTGCAGGCTAGGAGGTGCAAGCTAGGTCTCCTGGTCACTCTGCCCTCTGTTTTCAGGACCACTGGGGAAGGGGGATGGCTGAGGGGTGAGGGCACGTGTTTCTCTTCTGCCTGCGGCTGTGACTGGGCCTCTGTGAGCTGGGAAAACACTCTCCTCCTTGCTCTTTCACAGCTGGGACAGGTGAGGGCTGCTGGTTGGCTTCATCCTTTGCTGCCTGTGCCCCTGCAGGCCTGCAGCTCTTCCTTGCATTCCAGGCTTTTTACTTGAACCTTGGGAGCTGTTTTCTACCAGGCCAGGCCTGACAGTTATCACCAAATGTCCCTTGTCAGCATCTTTTTCATTCCTGTCCCCTACTGCCATGCCATGTCAGGTCTCCTGCTGCCATCAGGAGTGGAGATCTGAGAGCTGCCCTGGCCTGGTGCAGGTCCTGGCATTGTAGTTTCTGTGCAGGCCACAGAACCTCTCCAAGGCTCACTGTCCTTCTCTGGGAATGGGACAACAAATGCCTGAACTCCTAGAGATTGGGCCAGGATTAGAAGAAGGCATGAGAGGGTTAGGGTCCTCACCAGCTTCTGACTTTCTTCCTGGTCCTGTCTCTGCCCTTGCCTGCTGCCCCTCTAGAGACTTTCGTTCAAACCCCTTCACTGCCCCTGGGGACCTTAAGCTAACCGCCATATGCTTACAGGGTATTGCAACCCCACAGCAGCTCCTGGGGAGAGGAGAGGCCCAACCTCTCACCTCTGTGCCAAAGGCCATTTCTTGATCTTTCTTCTCACACATTCTCTTTTGTCCTCCAAAATCCAAACCCATGCGTTGCCTCCTCCAAGAAGGCCTTTCCCCTAGGCCTGACATTGACTTTCACTCATGTCTCTGTGTCTCTGATGCCCTGTCAGAGTTCTCACAATGTGGAGTCACTGGGAAGCAAGGGCCTGCTCTGTCCACCTTTAACTGTCTGAGACCTGGCTCTGAGGAGAGGCAACGAGTCTGTGCAAAAGCTACTCAAAGGGGACTTTCGTGGCCATACAAGTAAAACGTGTTATCTGGTAGATGGTGAGTTCCCCATGACTCCAGGAATTCAAGGCCAGAGTCATTAGCTCTAGAGTCATTTCCTGTAGCTTCCTCTGGTGACACCCAACCTCCCTTCATAAGGCATGTTTTCTAATATATTATCTCTAATATGTTCCTATGGACCAAGCAGCCGTTTTACTCTCTCCATCAGGTTGTTTATTTAATTTTTTTTTCAAGTTTGAATTTGGGGCTTTGTGCTTGTTTGTCAGGCATTTTACTGCTTTTGGTTGCTGATGGGGCTTGAACTTGGGGCCTGGCTCTGTGTACCAGCT